GGGGGGATAGTGTAGGGGGCAGGCTTGCAGGGTATACCCTTTGGTCGGTTGATGATGCATGGAGGGGATTGTAACCATGGCAATGATACGATGTACGATAGAATGAATGTAAAACTCATGTTCTCCCATGTAAACTATCATATAATTCACAATAAAACACTTAAAAAAAAACAAAAAGTATAATGCCACTTTTATTTGATTACTGTCCTTTTTTTACAAGCCATTGACAGGGGCTTTTGAATGCTGTTTCCATACCACCATTTTTTTTTCATAAATTTTATATGACAATACATAGCACTGTCACTTTTAGGAATACATTTGCAATGTTATAGCAAAACTAACTGTCCTTTTTAAGAAGCATACAAAAATATAAATAGTAGTACAATATGATAAAATATGTACAAAAATTAAGTAACAACAGAATAGTAATGTAAAGCTTAGAATAAAGTTACTATACCTAAATTATCAAAGGTGAGTAGCAAATTCAACTGTGAGCTTTCAGTGGACTTAGTAAATGAAGCTAGGTAATAACTATGTCACAAAGTCTATCAGAAAATATACAAAAGGAATATAAAATAAAAAGAAAAGATTAAGTTTCTACTTTGACACCAAAGGCTAGTATACCAATTGAGAAAAGAAAAAAGAGAAAGAAAATACTTCAATGTATAGCTAAAATGCTTTTATGGAACCAATTCCAAAATCCAACAGCACTTACAAATATGAGTTTCTAATTTATGCCTAGAGAGCTAGCATCGAATTACTTGGAATAAAAAGAAATGACAAGATGCTCAAAAAATGATTTATGAGGTGAGGATATGAACCTTCATACACGGCTAATGAGAATGCAAAATGGAAACAGTTTGGCAGTATTTTCAAAAAGTAAGCATAAGTGTAATATCTTATGACTCAGCAGCTCAACTCCTCGGTATGGAGCCAAGAGAAATGAAAACATATATCCACATATCCACAGAAAGACTTACATGTTAATGTTCAAATATACATTATTCACAGTTGTCAAAAGTGGAAACAACCCAAATATCCATCAATCAATGAATAAACAAAATGCCATATATGAATATTTGTATAATGCAATATTATCAATGGCAACAATAAAAAGGAAAAAATACTGATACATGCTATAGAATCGATGAACATCATTCTGCTAAGTGAAAGAAGCCAGATGAAAAAGACTACATATTGTAAGATTTCATTTATATGAAATATCCCCAAAAGGTGACTCTACAAAAACTTAAATCACATTAGGTTTTTAGCAAGGGTGGGTGGGAACAGGGTTGAACTGCATATGAGCATGAGGGGTCTTTCTGGAGTGTTAAAATGTTCTCAATATTGGACTGTCATGATGTTTATACAACTCTAACAATTTACTAAAAATCATTAATTGTACATTTAAAACAATAAACTTAAAATGGTATGTAAATAAAGTTTTTTCTTTCTCTCTCTCCCCCCCGCCGGCCGCACTTTTACTAAGTAAAGTAAGAAGGGAAGAGAGGAGAGGAAGGCTTTATGCAGGTAACTGAAGCTACCCTCTGACAAGAAGATAAAAATGAGACCATTCTAGTTGACGGAAACAGCTTAAGCAAGGGCAGAGGCAGAAATAAGGTGGTATGAGGAAAGATCTTCTGGCACAATGAATAGGCTAGAACCAACAAATGTTGTTGTTACTATTAAGTGCCACGGAGTCAGTTCCAACTCATAGTGACCATGCACAGGATTTCCGAGGTACAGCTGGCAGATTTGAACTGTTGATCTTGCAGTTAGAAGTTCAGTGCTTATCATACAGTGCCACATCAGGACTCCCACCCACAAAGTCAGAAAGCTAATAACTAAGCAAGGCTGGTCCATCAATAACAAGTTCATTAATGAACTTCACTACTAAGGTGAGGAAACGGTATTTACTGATGAGCAACCAGAAGCTATTAAGTAATATGGTAAAAGTAGAAAATAATGAAGTTGACACAGGATGTGGCAATAGAATTTATGCTGGGACATAATAAGATTTGTAGAGCAGGACCTTATCATGAAGGAAGTGATGTAATAAAATATGACTGGTAAGCTATTTTCTCTCTGAACTGACATGTCAATTACTATACTCACACATGTCAGTTAACACATATCATGTCAATGCAAACATTGTAACCTACATAGAGAAACAAAGAAAGGTACCTTAAACCAAAGAAATGCATAAAAGAAACCTATCCTTTGTTGTTGGAACATTTTTGGAATATTATACTATTATTACAGTGAAATATGGTAAAAGCATTTATAGTAAAATATTGTAAAAATGTTCCAGCAAGAAAGGATGGGACTCTGCTCCTGGATAGGAAGACTTAACATTGTGAAAATGTCAATACTGCTCAAAGCAATTTACAAATATAATGCAATCCCAATCCAAATCCCAACGACATTCTTCAAAGAGATGGAAAAAATAATTACAAACTTTATATGGAAAGGAAAGAAACCCAGGATAAGCAAAGCACTGTTTAAGAAGAA